GATGAGAGAGAGAGAGAGAGAGAGAGAGAGAGAGAGAGAGAGAGAGAGAGAGAAAGGGACTAAAAAAAGAAACTCTGAACAAAATGAAAGAGTTCTTTTTCCCCCCCAACTCTTGATCTATTTCTAAACCCCGGGAGTTACAATTTATTTGGAATATAAAGACCACAAGGGGGAAAGCTGGTGGTGTCCCATTTTTCAAATAACTGGAAATTTCGACCCAGATACTTCCTGCTTCTTCAATATGTAGAATTCTGAACAGTTTTGTTTTCCACTGTAGATATAAAATACATTTATATCCATTTAGTAGATATTTTAGACAGGTGCAGACCAACTGCTTGTTTTAAGAAATATTGTAGAATTAAGCAAAGAAACGAATGTTCTAATTATTTTGAGTTTAGTGGACTTTACAAAAGCCTGTGAAAGTACAGACCGAACAAAGGCCCTGTTGAAAATTGTTGCAATTTATGTCATCCCAACGAACATAATAAACTATAAAAATCAGGATATACTTAAGCAAGCTGCTGTGTCCTAGTTGAAGAAAGACTATCTATACATTTCCGGGTTCGAGCCTCGGTTCGGACACGGATTTTTTTCGCCCCCTCCTGCCCATCCAACAGTAATGGGTACCTGGCTTCGAGTTGGGGAAGTAAAGGCGGCGTGGAAAGGAACTGGCCACCCTACCCTAATATGCTGAAGGCCCAGGAAGTTGTCTCACAAACAAGGCAATCTCCAATGTCCGGATCGGATGAGGGAACAACTTTTCTTTTTTATAACTGGTGTTAGACAAGGCTGTATACTATCACCTGGACCTTTTGGAATTGCGATCGATTTTGTAATGAGACAGAACAAATATATTAAAACCGGCATTGAATGGACAAATGGCACTTATTTGGGAGATTTAGATTTTGCAGATTAGATCATGTCTGTCTATTAAACACCATAGTTCATGGAATGCAAATACAAACAAATGAATCAGCCAGAGCTAAAAAAAAAAATTAAATTAAATTGGCCCTGTAATAAATGTTTCCAAAACAGCAATTATCACCAAAAACTACTCTCATCACTCTT